AAACGATTTCATCAAAAGTTGCTATTAAGAGAGGAAAAAAGAAGCGTTCGTACTCAAAAAGAAAAAAATCATTATTCGAAAAATTCGCATTTCTGAGCAAAAAGAAAAAATACGTGTCTCCTTAAATTGTTCAAGGAACAATCCCTGTGAGTTTTATCGCAATCTTAAATTCACTTTCCGCCGGCCTGGGTGATTTGGGATGGAATGAGCCATATGCAAAAAAATTGCAGAGTGGCGCAAATTTAGAGAGCAAAGTGACAGTTTACTTGGAGAGGAAGCTGCAAAATCTTGCTAGAAACATTCTTACTAGGATGAGTTTTAAGTTTAAAATAACTTATTAGAACTTATAGTGTGCGGAAATTAGTAAATTACTAATTTTCTTACGATTGCTTACCAAACTGCTTTAGACAATTTTTTAATTTTATTTATACAATTTGTGCTATTGTGAGATTTTTGGATATTTTCCAATTTGTGAGGGTTGTCTTCTGCAAGTTCGAACGGAGGATTACTGTCCTACCTATATTTAACTTCAAACTTAAATTAAATTTTCTACCCATTAGTAATAATGAAGCGGCTAATAAAAGCTTTTGAGCGATAAGAGCACAGGGATTTAGGTATTCTGCAAAGACAACTAAACCGTTGATATTTAAATTATTAGGTTCATTCTTTCTGTTTGCTGTTATTACAAGACTAAATTAAAGTACTAGTCGTAAATGCATATTATATTATCTGAACTTGTTTCTATTCTCAGAATATTTATTTTTTATTGTACATACCGACATAATCTTTAGTCGTTGCTCGTGTCCAGTGTGCTAAGTAAACGATAAGCAGCAGCCGAAATATGTTATTTTTTGTAGACATGGTGCTGTAAGAAACATTTTTTATTTGTATAATATCTAACATTTTACTAAATGGATTTAGAGGCTAAATTACATTTTAAAATACATTCTTGTGGAATGGCAGTTTATAAAAAAAATATTTTTAATATTAAGTACACGCATTCTCAATTAGGGTACTCACAGTTTACTTCTAAAGTTAAAAGGTGGCAACTTTAACAAGATAACACACTCGAACTGTGAGCAACCCTTATGTTTAAATAAAGTATTAAGTTGATCAACAATACCACGCATTGCTAGACCGTTTGCCTTTCACGCGTTTGTGTTTAGAGAGCATCAACAAACCACATACATATTTCTCTCTATTCTCTCTTCTCTTTTTTATACTCAGCTAGCACAGCGCAAAAATTAAAAAAAAAATAACCTTTGCCAGCTTCAGGCAGGCGCAAAGAGAAACTTAAAGTGTGTTTGCATTGTTCAACTTTGCGTTCAACATTTGCGTTCAACTCAGCGCAGGGTTGCACGAAAAAAAAGTCGAATGGCTAAAAATATCAAAATATGAAAAAATATCAAAATATTCGCCATAAAAAGGTGTTTGCATTGTTCAACTTTGCATTCAACTTTTGGTTGAATGGCCTTTTAACTAATCGCTTTCAACAAAGTTGGTCGCCAGCCAACATTCAGCCATTCAACTTTTTTTTCGTGCAACCCTGCGTTGAGTTGAACGCAATTGTTGAACGCAAAGTTGAATAATGCAAACACTGCTTTAGGTCGGTGTTATGCAGACAAACTTTTGTTTGCCAAATTAAATGGCGGCTCCTTAGTTTGCTCGGAGGTGGTTATGTCGAGTTTGACACAGGGTTGCACGTTCATTATGGTTTTCATGGCTATTGCCAACACGAAATGAGAATTTCAGATGTACATAACGCGCAAAATTTAAAATTTTTGTATATGACAACACCGAATTTGCTGCAGTTTGACCAAACAAAATTAGTTTTCTGTGAGAGTCGCCAAACTCGCTCTCTCCGAGTTTGCTGCAACAACAATTGCACGCAGTTTGCCAAACAAAATTTCTGCATAACACCGACCTTATGTACAAGCAGCGCTGCGCCCAAAGCGAAATTCATGTATGTATGTACAAGCAGCGATAGATGCCAATTTATTACAGAACATAAACATGAGACAAAGTCTAGAAATTTTGCCCAAAAGTGTTATCTCTAATTAGTATGGGAACCAACAACAAACAAAGTTACCACATGGTAAAATGTTTTAAAGTTACCAGGTGGCAAAATTAACACAGTAGATAATATAGAACTGTGAGTACCCTAATTATGATATCAAATCATTCGTTTAGATATACTTCGAACCTGATATCGTGCATGCATATGTATATTCATCTGTACCCTGTCGGGAGTTCGTAGTCGACTACTAAAATAGGTAACTTTTGGTCAACTTATTACGGCTAACATTTAATTGGTTTCAAAGCCATGCAGAGCTTAATCGAAGGAATATGTATGTATGAATGTACGTAAAATTGTTTCACAATTTTCACTTTCGACAAAAAAACTTGTGTTCAAAAACAAAAAATTTAAAACAATTTTGTACATTTATTGTCATTGTGTTTTTTACTGAAAACGAGAGAACATGGATTTAGGTTATTTTATTTACAATAATATAGCCGAAAATATACGTATGTACATTCAGTGATGAACAAAATTATTGGCACAGCAAGGCAGTTAAACTTTAACACTGGTGTTTGGCCACTTATGAAATGATTTTTAATTGCAAAAAAAAGCGGTAGACAGAATGACAAGTTATCAACTATATGAACTTTAATTAATTTTGTTATGTTTTATATTTAATTAAAAATAAATATAAATTATAAAAAAGTACTAATTTTCGACAAACAAAATTATTGGAACACTTAAATGTTACCGGGCTATTTCGTCCAAATTCTATCAATCTAGCAACTTTTTTTTTTAAGTCCCTCTTTGTCTACGTAAGAAATTGCGATGTTGACAGAAGGCAAACTTCAAACATCAGTTTGCCTTAAAATATTGTGAAGTTTCCTTAATTTTTATTAAAATGAGCAGAAAAAAGTGAAACTACCGAATCTCAGTGGAAAATAATATTATATTTGCATAATCAGGGAAAATCATATGCTGAGATTGGTGAAATGATGGACAGGAGCCGCTACACTATACGGAGCATTGTACAACGCTTTAAGGGGGCTTCATCTTCGCAAAGCGCAAAACGTACAGGCAGGCCTAAGGTTTTAAACGACCGCGAATGCGGCCAAATAGTGAGGAAGGTAAAAAAAAAAACCGAGAATATCCTCCTCACAAATCGCAACAGAAGTTAAGGAAGAGTTGGGAAAGGATATTCATCCAATAACAGTCCGGAAAGCACTGCATGAGTATAACTACAATTCTCGTGTAGCTAGACGCAAACCCCTAATTTCGAAAGCTAACCAAAAGAAGCGTTTAGCCTATGCTAAGGAGTACCTAAGCAAGCGAAGTGACTTTTGGGACCATGTACTCTTCTCAGATGAAAGTAAATTCAACATCTTTCAATCTGATGGCCGGCAAATTGTGTGGAGAAAGCCCAACACCGAACTGCAAAAAAAGAACATTTCTGCGAGTGTAAAACATGGTGGTGGAGGAGTCATTGTGTGGGGCTGCATGTCCGCTGCAGGTGTCGGTGAGCTGGAGTTCATTGATGGCATTATGGACAAGAAATATTACATGGAAATCTTGAACAGAAATGTCAAAAAAGTGCCGAAAAGTTGAAATTGCCAGAGTCATTCGCATTTCAGCACGACAACGACCCGAAGCATACTGCTGATGATGTTCGTATGTGGCTTGCGCACCATAATAAACATACATTGCCGCATCCGCCTCAATCGCCTGATCTAAACCCAATAGAACATTTGTGGGAAGAGCTAGATAGGCGCGTTAAGAAGCGTGTTATAACAACAAAAGCAGGGTTAAAGGTGCCACTAGTAGAGGTGGGTAGCTCAGCACTGTGCTGGGTTACTGTGCTGACTCTTAGAACTGTGCCGCACGCTCAGACTCACCTCTGAAAAATTTTTTAACTCAGTAACTCAGTTTATGTGCTGACAATGTATAGCTCAGTGTGCTACAGAGTCGATATGGTAACTCAGTTGATGTGCTGACACTTGCATAGCTCGGTGCAGCTTGCATTGTTTAGAACTGTGTCGATGTGGTAACTCAATTGATGAGCTGACACATTCACACAATACGATCTTCCAAAAAGTACCATAATAGATGGCATCACTACACTAACCATCAATTGAATATACGACTACCAAATTTAACAAGAAGCAAGGCGAATAGCCCAGTTATGCATACCTGCACTGTTATACCATTTTTACGTAAAATCAAAACCAAAGAGAATTCTACATGTGAAGTGCTATGCATTGGGTAACCGCTTACAAGCATAGCCTATTTAACAGATTCTTACATGACCACTCTCAAGCAAAGCTAAGTATGCATAACTGGGCTGGAAGTTAATACATCCAAGGGGAATTATTTTGCAAATGAACTCACCGGTTGAAATCATCTTTCTAAAATTTTGCCGGCCAGCTGAACAGAAGCTAAAGATAATCTTTTCTAAATCGATTTCGATTACTAACATCATCAAAAATTTCGATGTACATACCAATTGTGCGATAGCACACTTGTGCCAGCTCACTGTGCTGACTCATTAAAGTGAGTTGGAGTTACTGAGTCAGCACACCAAAATTTACAGAGTTACCCACCCTTAGCCACTAGTAGAGGAATGGCAGAATATTGGAGCAGAAA